GTTTTCTAAAGGCTAATGTTTGAAACATGTGTCAGTGTGTGTGTGTGTGTGTGTGTGGGGGGGGGGTTGACTGCTTGTTTATGACATCTGCCAACTTGTGTCATGTCACACTGTATGCACAAACTAATGAGCAGATTAGATGAAACAATGGAAATACTTTGATCTGACAATAGAACTGATACACGTAGATCATATATTTTATAAGGTTATCATACTTTACCAGCTCACATTTGTGATTTTATATTCTTATTCCCCTTTCTGTTCTCAGTTGGGCTTATTCGATGTAAATTGTGAATTGACGGGTTGGCTTGAATAGAACATGGACGTAGTCTCAGTGATGTCACTCATTGGGTTTGGAAGAAGCATTTGGAAGTCAAACTCTGGCGACCCCGTATTGGTAAATGCTATCTCTCCACCTACCTACGTTTTGATCAATCAGAAACAGTCAAATCAACCACGTACCCAGTTATGCTAATTTATGAATATCTCTTAGTCTTGAAAACCTTATAAAGAAATTAGCTGTAGAGACAAATTACCCATGTTGCACCAGGGGGTTTCACACTTCTGCATTGGCTTAATTATTCAACATCAGAGGTTGTCACTTGCTGAGAACGGACACAGTCACTCTCTATGCAAGCTTATATTGATTTTTTTTTCTTTCAAGTCATGTTTTGATCCTTTGATACGAGGGCTGAGCGCTCACCGGCAATGTAATCTGTCATATCAATCCCACCTAATCTCCTTTATATACACTGATATATTTAGTGAATTAACTGGACTAACTGGTCGGCCATGTTTTTTGAAATCCAAACAGCTGCTTCTTCATATTAAACTAAGTTAACTTCACTCTTTAAGTTTAATGAACAGCAGAGAAAGAAATCAGAAAATGACTCTTCCTCTAATACAGTAGAGGGAAGATATCTGAAATCCTTCAGGTAATCTTTGGGACGTTGTTGGCACACAGCCAGTGTGTGTTGCCTAAACATTGGGGTAATTGTATCATAGCTTCCATCATCTGCTGCTGCAGCACTGTGATAAATAAGCCTTGTATTAGAGCATCGATCGAAGCAGAATTAACTCACCGCCGCCTCTGCACACACTGTGATCACGAGTGAGTGAAGGCTGGGGAACATGTTTTAAGGCTTCTCACAGCATGACATATGTACCCATGACAGCCCTCCACGATTACTCATCTGGTATGTGTATGATTTTAGTGTATACGTGTGCTTCTCCCACTGGGCTCATGTGACAGCAGGGGTGGGACGCTAAGAGGCGTTAGCTTGGTGAGAAGGATTACCTCGATCTGTTAGGCCTCCTTTTCTCTCCCCTGGGTGGTGTCACGTCTCATTACTTGTGTCCTCCAGCCCAGATAGTCTGGCTTTAGCCGGGATACGTTTAAAACGCAGGCAGCCTGGGCGTCCAGGAACACCCGGTTTAGAGGCGCGGTGATACGCGTGCCCTTGCTTGAGAGGCTTTTTCTCAGTAATCAGACAGGTAAACTTCTCCCAAAGCTGGCATTGATGGCCGCTAAGCCGTCACCTGTTTAAGTGAAACGGATGGCTGCACCGCAGAGAGACGAGCTCAGCGTGTGGCTACAAGCTGTTGTTGTTGTGATGGTCTCATCCAGAAAGTCTTTTTGCCCAGATGACCTGCATGTACTTAACATGTTACATATCACACGTCATGTGCATGAAGAGGAAAGAGGGGGGGGGGGGCTTTAAAGGGAGAAGAAAAAAAAAGCAGAATAGAAAAATAAGGGTTAACTGTTTTAGAGTCAGTTAACATTTCAACAAAAAATACAAATAGGAATAGTTTAACTATTTTAGAGACATCTCTCTTATTGAAAGATCATTAGCTGTAATTCATAAGGCACGGGCATCCACTTTACAGGCTTGGGATTTCCTTATTTCAACTCTTTCAGATCCAAATATAACCGGTATTATAAACAAAACGTAAACTTACACTTTTTGTAAAATTTACTTGTTTTAGTTTTATTTATTGAGCTGTGTCTATAGGTTGTATTTTGTGTGCATATGTGTGTATGGGTGTATATATATATATATGTGTGTGTGTGTACATGCATATCATAATTTCATTCAGTAATTTTGTCTTTGTTTCAAATGTTATGTATATTTTTCCTCGTCAAGGCAACGGCGATCTGTAACTAGTTCGTATGTTTGATGATGCTGTCTTGGGTTTCTGTCATTGAAGCGCATGTGTATAAGCATCTTGTGTAAAATTTCAATAAAAAGTTAATCACGAAAATACAAATAGGTAGATTCATTGAATAGATGTAAAGTGCTCGAGCCCCTGTCCCCTTGCTTCTGTTTTTACCGCAAACGATTTAATCAGTTAATCCAGAAAATAAGTTAACTGCAGCTGATAGTGAGGCCTTAAACCCAGACAGAAGCTGGAGCTCCTACACTTTGCGATATCATTACAGAAGGAAACATCTTCATCTTGAGATGAGATGAGATGAGATGAGATTCAACTTTATTGTCATTACACATATACAAGTATAGAGTAACGAAAATTGTGTGTTTGTGTGTATGAAGTGTAAGAATTAGTTGTATTTGGGGTTTGGACAGTTGGTCAAACAAATCTAAAGAAGCAACTAGAAGACGACATCTTGGAACCAAAGCATTGGTGATGGTTTTTGACTAGTTTCTGTTATCGACAGCGCAAAACATTTCTGAGGAATAGAAATGAGTTGGGTAGTTTGTCAGTGGGTATGGATGAAAAATAATTGTAGTACAACAATTAAGGAACTTGCTTTATAGAGCACCTATCAAACAAAAAAGTATAACACCAGAATGAAAACATGGTCTAAAAGATAACGTTATAACTGACTAAACTAGCAACTCGCTCCTTATTATTGTTATTAGCATGTTTTAAGAAAGTGACCTGGAGGGCCCTGATAGGAAAAGCTTGGTTTAGTTTTCAGCCTCTAGGAGAGATGCAGGAACACTGCCTGAGAATCTGAAACATTTGTGAGGGATTACCTCCTCAGGAAAGTTCAGGCAGTAACTCTTAAAAACAAAGGATTTGTTTCGACGTCGTCTTAAAGATCTTCCATTCTCACTGACATTTCTTAAGACGTGCATCTATTTAAAAAACTCGACCATGTCAGAAATCCGACTTGAAACCTTCAGCATTCCCCCCCTCGAGTCAACAAATAATTTATTGTATCACTGTAAAGGTCTCTTGAAGCATTTCTCTGAAGCGTTTGCTTTAATCACTTGTAAATCCTTCCAGTCAAGTGGCTCATTAGTGGAAATCACTGAAGTTAAGCTGAGTGGCATAAACGTCCTCTATAGACCTTTTCTCCTCACACTGCTGTTCAACATGCTACAAGAGGACAAACAGCCGATTCTTTCCGTCCCCCACGTTTTCTTTTTGTGAATACCTCTCCTCGGCACGGGTCACCGGCTCCTTCATTTCTCACCCATTCGCTGACCCAGAATATCGTGTGTCTACAGCGCCTGTGTTTTGACCCCTCGCTCTCCTTCCCCCCCCCCCCCCCCCCCTATTCCGTGGAACCCCCCGCCGCCCGCTGATCTCGCCCTCCAGCTGGTTCCCTCCACTGTCCAGAAGCCGGCGAGCTCTCCCCGGCCTTCGCAGGGCGGCTAATCTAGATGGCGGGAGGCCTCCCTCCTGCTAGCGTACACAAGAGAAGGCAGCCCTAATTGCTTATGTCGTAAAGCTTCCTGACCCAGATAAGCCTCCACTCCCCAAAGCTGTCGATGTAAACCCCACTTTACCTCACCAAACCTGCCTCTCCTGATCCACACAAGCCACCCCCCGCCTTACATTTCTGCACCTTCTGCCACCTTATTAACACCCGGCGCAGGGGGGGATATGAGCGGATGAGCAGCACCACGGACAGACCAAACACAAGTTATGATCTTTTCTTTCTTCGCTGAGTTTAATGTTGCTTTGCTGTTGATTAATTCATGCAATTTTTTGACATAAACTTCGCAAAGAAAAGTCTTCATTTAGCTAAACGACCTTTACATGCATAAAAACCTCAAAATACTTGATAAAGGACTTTCCTTAATCGTCATAAAACACGTTGGAGAAAGAAAAAGTGGCACACATTAGACGATGCAGCTCGTGTTTAGTCCAATGAAAGCAGGTCTTAAAGGTAGCGCTCAGTTGCGTGCTACAAGCTCCTGCGTGCCTGCTTCATCATTGAGCCCCATAATGCAGGCTTAGCGAGTAAAACGCCAAAGAAAAAAAAAAGGCCTGTGACGGTCGTCAAGCGGCAAATGTCACACGTGCGCTCTTCTTTTAACAGGTGGCTAGCTCGCCAATCAACACTTGCTCGGCTTAGACGCCCAAACACAAACACACGTTGCCGCTTTTAATTCTACACTTCAACAGGTTTTTGTTGCTATTTTTAATAGAATTATATTCAAAATTCAAAAGTGTGGTAGGGTACCTGTTACAGGAGGAATTGAGCCCACGTCTAACTTACTTAGAATTCCCTGAAGTCCACTTTAATACAGATCTTAATTACTAAATAGGAGCTTTTAATTGGATGCTGGCCTGCCTCACGCTGTAATCACCCTTCACATGCTTCTGGTGCAGGGATGCCTTTAAACCCCCCTGCCCGCCTTAAGCCCCGTTACACCACAGGTTCATGTCAGCTGTGTCAAGTGTTTGGTGAACGATACTCTTATGTAGATCTGCTTGTTGTTTGTCTTGCGATGAATAAACCCACAGCGTAGACAAACCTACAAACCTGAAGCTAAAACAAGTCAAATCGGCCGCATCGGGTTCTTTTCTTGGAAGCGAAGCGTCGTAGCTCTCCGCTTATCCCGCACTCGGCTTCTTCACGTCCAATTTAAATGATACTTCAAGTACCTCATTTGACATTACTTGTCATTACAAATCCCTCTGGTGAAGTTAATTAATTGGATTTCTGCAGGATGACTAAGGATGTTGCTCAGTGGTTGTAGCAGCAGAGCGATTCCTGTAAAAAGCACAGTGAGTCACGCTTGTGGGTCACATAAAGGTCATCCAGTACTTTTAATAGAAATTCCCAACAAACAAATCAGGCATTTGAACTCGTCAAAAACAAACGCATACAAAATAAATATGAACTTTTTCCAAGTCGGGGAACAGATGGAAGAGAGAGAAACATCACCACAAGTTGTCAAAACAATATTTAAAAAGTGATATCACTCCGACACACAGCAGACTAAAGGGGTGTGAAAGTGGTTCCAACACAATGTTGTGCTACAGTTCTCCAGCTCAGGTTCAATAAAACATGTATTTTTTTTAAAGTTCCATTTAAAAGATAACATTTGCAATAAATATACCATAAACACAACAACAAGTGAGGACAGAAAACGATTCAAATAAGTTAAAACAGATGCTGTGTGTGCATACCTGCAGCAGTGTGAATCACCTGAACTAAACAGACAGGAAGAAGTGGTCGTCAAGGTTTTAATACTGCATGTTCAATATGTACCTGTAGGTGAAAGAATAAAGTGTAGTGTTCTCTAAACATGTTGAGATAAACGGTTCTTCTGCAGTCCACAGGCGGCCCCTCTCTCTGCTTGTAGTTTACATGTTGATTGTGCGCTTTTATTTCTGTCTCCACCTACATGCTACATTTCTACCTCTACCCCACAGGCCTGTTAAAACCAACAGCAGCAACTACATAATCCATTGATTACTTGTGTCCGATCCTCAGTGTTATAGTGCAGCAGACTTGCACAGATTTGGCATTAAACTACATCATTTCAAAAAATGTTCTCAGTGCTTTGTTTGCATGGATAACGGAGCGATCCTTCAAACGGTTCAAGGCCAGAACAATCCGATACAGGTGCTGAACATGTCTGAAATGTGCTGACAGTTGTGGCTCAGAGTCAGTTAGTCCCTCTTCAAAGCTAAAACATCACTGGTGTTGTGTAATCCCTTTCCTGCACTCGACACTCAAGTGTCTGTTGCCCTCTGCTGGTCAAAGCGTGTAATTGATCAGCACGACATGAAAAGAAAAAAAAAAACACCTACTGAGGTTCTGGTTGAAAATCACACTAAAAAGTCAAAACAGGGTTTATGGTCAACCTGATCATTATCCTTTTTGTTTTACTTTATTATTTATATAAAAAATGTCTAAAAACGGGCGAGACGTTCACCAGATTAAATGGCTTCTTTTTTTCTTCAGCATGATAGTTGTGCTCCCCTTTCTTTCCATTAACCAGCCAATAATCCATAGTTCATCTCTTGCTTTTGCAGAAGTCTTAACCTAAAACATGATTGCATGAAGCACTAACTTTGAAGTTCTACCTTTGAGACAGAAAAAAAACATCTTTCTTAATTTTTCTAAATATTTCTGCTCAAAATGCGTTTTCTTACCACAGGAAATTTTCATAGTTCTAGGAACTGTTGGAAGCCCCCCCACCTTTTTTTTTATTGATTTCTAAACGCAGGGAGCTAGGAACTATTTAAGTTCCTAGAACACGTTTAGAGGAACCTTTTTTAGCTCCTGCTTCAGAGTAGGTACCATGGTGTGTACTGTATGGATAGTTCCTCCTCAAAAAGTCCCCAGAACTGTTTGGTCTGAAAACACCTAATGAAATGACTAAATGCGATTTCAGCTGGACTTTTGGGAACTAGGAGATGCTTGATCAGCTGTCATGAAATGTTGAACTCTATACATCATGTTACATATTGAAATTAGGATTAAGTTTTTAAAGATATGACTCTGAGTGGATATGTACACAGTCTAAAAGTCACAGTTTAGTCTATTTTTATACCTTAAGAAACTTTAAAATAGGAAAGCTACCTCATTTGCCTTTGAATACAAGTCGATCAAATGCCAACTTCACTTTATATTTGCGTTTGATTTAAAGAAGTCTCATGAGTTGCAGCCGGACGGTTTTCCAGCTTTGAATGATCATTTTTCCTTTAAGCAACTAGCTGTAACAAATCCCCCCGAGAGAACGTTTTCCTGCTGCTTTTTGTCAGACGGTCTTGAAATAAACCCAAGAGTCTGATGAGATTAAACTACTGCGCCATCATCAAAAGGAGTCACAGAGAAAGTAGGACATGTTGGACAGGGAGAGCCTGTCTGGGAGCTAAATCGGGCTGAATTAAGAAAAAAACCTGCGTCCATCATTTCAGCTGAAAACCACTTTGGTTTGGAGTCCTAGTCCAACTCAGCAGCGTCTGTTGGAGGAGGGGTATTTGGTTTTCAGACCCTCTTTGAAGCTGCGAAACAGGACCCTGTTATGTTTGTTCTCCTCGTCCTTCTTGGCGTGGAACTCCCCCTGGATCTTGAAGCCGCGGTGCACCACGAAGGCCGTGCTCAGCACCGAGAACCTGTACCCGGCCACGTGGAGCTCACAGGCCTGCGGGGGGAGACGGGATTAGAAAAGGGGAACACATGGAAGTGGGCAGTGATGAGGGGGGGGCAGAAAAGGTGAGAGGGAAGGTGACGACAAGAAGGACGGAGGAGGAAGAGAGGATATGTGTTGGAGAAATATGACAAGAGGAAGATTGGTGGAGGTGTAATGGATGTGATGAATACAGGTGGAGTATGGACAGAATTCATCAGAGAGAGGTTGAGGGTTGATTGGAGGTCAAAGAGAGTCGAGACATTTCTACAGGAAAGGAGGCGGGGTCTGGAATTAAATAAATCAACATGGAATAAAACGGCAACTCTTTTAGACGGCAAGTTGGGGGCCATACAAGAACTCAAAACGAAAGCAGCAGACGCAGAGTTTTCCTAACTTTTAGTTTTAATTGTTGGTCAATGGACTCTTATTTTAGAGAAACTCTGCTCGATAAATGCAAGTTTTCTTTGAACACAAAACGCCCAATTTATAACACAAGCATTCTGTCAAAGAGATGGCGGTTGAAGGCCATTACAGGAAAACACTAATCATAACTTTATACAAAGAACAAAGAAGACACTAATCTACAGTTTTTGCAGGCTGGGTTATTATTTGTCGGTCTTCAATAGAAGAATCTATTGAAATGAGTTAATTTAAGATGCTGGATTCTGTTGGATTTTATTACTATTCTGTGTTTATACAGCTGTTAAGGACCAGGTTATGATGGAGCAACCTCCCCAATGCAACCTGCAAACCTGGTGTGCATTAGATTATATTAAAATCTACACACTCAATACAAGCTTTTCCATTGGTTCAGTTTAGTTGGTGTCGATTTGGGGCAATTTGGACCTGGAGTACCACAGGGATATTTCTCAGTCAAATGTTCAGATCAAACAAACCTGGCTGATTCTGTTGAAGCCGTATTGCTTGAAGTTCTCGTCATAGAGCGGCACGGTGCGGGGCCCGATGTAGAAAGGCTCCCAGGGGTCCACCCAGGCGAGCGTGTAGGCCACCTCCAAGGTGCCCGTGTCTCTGACGTGGCTGTTGACCCAGCGTGAGTAGTTAGTGGGGGCTTGACAGCGAGGACACAGCTCTTCATAGAACGGCCGGACCTCTCCCACCTGATAGAGCTGGACCAACTCCTCCTTGGTGCCCGGCAATTTCCGGGCGTGACGGATCTCGAAGGCGGGCAGGACGAACACCTCCTCGCTCGTCGGCTGACGCTTCTTGATCATGTCCAGGAAGTTCTGGTGCAGGTCGGCGCTCGGCATCATATCGATGTCGATGACCAGCATGAAGGAGGACTCCATGCCTCCTCTGGCGACGTTGCGCAGAAGGTTGTTGGGGTAGGAGACGTTTCCGCTGATGGCGTAGTTCTTGTGTTTATCCCTGTAGGTCTCCAGCCTGGAGAACACAGAAGCGCAGTCCTCAAGACCCGCAAAGTGCTCGCGGTCCTGCTCGGGGAAGCTGGCCATCTCTCCTGACAGGCACACCAAGTGGAAGTCCACCAGGGCCTGAATCTGAGGGCAGAAGAAGCTGAGCGCGTAGACCAGAGCTGTGGCAAACTTAACATCTTGCCCGTGTGCAAATATCGCCACAGAGAGAGGGTTCTGCCACCGCTGCAGAAGAGACTCCAGGTGATGCAGGTTGTTGATGGTTGTGTGTGTTCCCAAAGCCAGGACATTGGAGCTGGGCGCCGACCCTGGTTTCTGGTCAGTGGTGTAATCGCTTTTGATCAAGTTCTTGTAGACCCGGTACTGACCACTGTTGTCAAAGATCCCCCCAGTGGACAGAGAGTACCTCAGACGCTCTTTGCGTGAGTTTTTCTCGGCGTGCGCATTCTTCTTACCCCCAGAGCCTCCGAAGAGCTCCGAGTACCGGTACCGCTGCTGCTTACCGTGAAACCTGGACAGGAAGGACAGGTAAATGAGCTGCAGGAGCGCCACGATCAGCAGAGCACTCAGCACCACTTTGAATGCGGAACATTTCTTGGAGAGATGCATTCCAGGAGAAACTGCAAAACACAAAGCAGGACCAAACACCGGAGCAGGTTTGTTGTTTGCTTGAGGCGCCTCTGCTTACATCAGCTACATAGCAATGGCGATGATAGGACGACCGCCTATCAGGCTGCAGATGCAAACAAATCTTGATTGCATGTTTTGGTTTTTTTTTGGTTAAATCAGGGCTGTCCCGGTTTTTCTTGTCGCTGTCGATATCACGAAAAATCCAGCTTCTTTGATCTCCATCTAAACACAGCGCAGTTGTTACCATTTGCTCCTGCGACAGCGGCGCATGTGCATACGTCATTACCGTAGTGCACCGAGCAGAGGCGCCATGTGATCTGCTTAAACCGCTGCTAGAGATCACGGCTGCGGGTAAAGGGACACGGATACTACTGCGCGTAACACGAGGGAGACACGGTTCACTGCGATTAAAATAAATATTTGATATTTGTTTGTTGTTCGCCTTTATTAGGTTAAGTGGTGTGGTTAGGTAATCCATGGGACGAGGTGGCCGAGTGGTTAAGGCGATGGACTGCTAATCCATTGTGCTCTGCACGCGTGGGTTCGAATCCCATCCTCGTCGACATCTTTTTTTGTTATAAATACATTTCTTCATGTGACACCTTTATTGAAGCCAATTTCCGCCAGTAAAAAAAATAAAAATGGAAATAATAAAGTCTCATAATTTCAACTTTTTATCTCAGTATTATGACTTTATATCTCATTATTTAGACTTTTTATCTCATTATTATGACTTTATTATTTTCATTTTTATTTTTTTAATTGGCGGAAATGGGTTTCCATACACCTTGGACCTTTGCTGATAGAAAATCTCGCATTTTTTTAAATATATATATACACATTTCTTCATGTGACACCTTTATTGAAGCCAATTTCCGCCAGTAATAAAAATGAAAATAATAAAGTCTCATAATTTCATTATTTATCTCATTATTTTGACTTATCTCATTATTATGACTTTATATCTCATAATTTCGATTTTTCATTTTCATTTTTTTTAACTGGCGGAAATGGGTTTCCATATACCTTGGACCTTTGCTGATAGAAAATTACGATTACGATAATTACTTGGGTCAATTCAATTTATGAAAACTGACTGCTATAATAACAGCTGTAGGTTTTTAAATGAAAGGCTGTTTTATAAAACATTTTCATTATGAGGAATTAACTTAATTAAAACTTAACAGGGCCTTCTCCATAGCTGGCCGCCCCCCTCCCTCTGGAACTCACTCCCTACACACATTCGACACTGCAACGACCCTCCTACTTTCAAATCACTTATCAAAACTCACCTCTCCAAACACGCTTTTAATGTATGATTGTTATGTATTTTCTGTTTTCTGTAGTTTACCTTTTATTGTTGTTATCTTTATGATTTGTGTGTAATGTTGCAATGTCTGTTAGTCTGCCCTTACTGTGCTGTTCTTTCTGTTTTTAACTATTGTAAAGTGTCTTTGAGTTTTTAAAAGCGCTTATAAATAAAATGTATTATTATTATTAATTAGTTTGGTTTTAAAAACTATTAAACAGTCGGAATAGTCTCTTGCTCAAGTTTTTTCACACTTCATTTAGATTTGAAAACAGCCATGACTTAAAACTGATTTAAGTCAGTTTTCTATCTTGATTTGAATTCATATCATCATCTTGCAATCCAAAGGGGCAGAATAGCTTATCATTACAATCTGGAGGTGGGGTTTTAGGAGACAAAGCAAGTTGTGATTTCTTAGTCGTACGTTTCCTTTCAACACTGCCCGCAGACAAATCTGACAGGAGGAAAGATGGACATCAGACAACCTCAATAAGATTTGGTTTCATTATTTGGAATCTGCAGGTCACAGTGTGAGAGATTGTAATGGGCTTTGTTTCAAAGATTTATGACACAAAACAATGCATCTTTTTTTTGTTTGTTGTTGACAACTTTAATTCATGATCATAAACAAAAACGTGTCCTTACAACTACATGCAGTGTGGACAGCACACATCAGGTCCCAGACAGCATTTCCACAGTTTAGACTTCAAACATGAGTTAGGTTGTGCTTCAGCATGTCCTACAGATCAGAAAGAATGTGACAGCTTTGTGTATTTACTGACGTTTATAATAAATGTGTTGTAAGGTAGCTGTGACTCTAACATCACAGCCTGCACTTTAGTAACGGCTCAACACAAACTGATCTCCCTTCAGTATTATGAATAGAAACCAGCGAAGCTAACAGATTCTTTTCTATCCATAGTGACATAATAAAACTTCAGTCTTTTGTTCAGGATTAAAACATGTTGTCAAAATGCCGTCAAGGACCTGAACTGTCTTGGCAAGGTGACTTTTTGCAATGCTTCATTGGGGCCAAGTGAAATCAACTTTTTAGTTTCTTCCCAATCTTTGTTAGTCAAGAAATCTCCCAAAATGAAAAGAGTGTTTACTGAATCAGGCATTTTGAGAATTTATTTTATTTTCTATAATCATTAACTTTTGACATTTCAAAGTAGCAACTCCTGCATGAAATCTTGCATTCCTTCTATCACGTCTAAATGTAAGTAAGACTTAAACAAGTATTTGATTTTAACACTTTAATGTGTGCCACAATATTCCAGAAGTAAAAAAGAGCTCACTGAAAGGCGAATGTAAGACAGCCTTACATTTGACATGCACTAGTATTCACACACAGAAGCAAAGTATTACTGTTGGAGTTTGCGTTAAATACCAAAAAGTCGACTAACAAAGGATCCAATTTTAAACCAACATTTTTGAGACTCCGACAATGACTCCCAATATTTTCAGTTCTGCAGAAATCAAAAAGGCCCAACGGTCGCCCTTCCACAACAACAAACTATGACACTAAAACGCCAGCGCCGCTTTTCGAGCCGCCTCCCTCGCTGTCCCGCGACGCCGCAGACTGGTCCTGTGCCTCTGCCTCGCCCTCTCCCACCAACCGGATGTTGTAGCGTTCCCTGTACTCTGTGAGCTCGCGACCTTTTGACTGCATCTGCGTGTTGATGGACTCGACTATTTTGGTGATCTGTGGGGGGGAGAGAGAGGAGAGCGGGTGAGAGCTTGTGACATTAAACAACATTATATTTGTACTTTTCTTTCTCCGCCTACATTACCTGCTCTTTGTTGCTTTCCAAGGCTGGTAGAACTTCTTTTACCGTCCTCTCCACCAAAACTCCTCCCACCAGACGAAAGCATTTCCTTGAAGGGTCCACGTCCTTCAGGGTGTCAACTACTAAGCTGGAGAAAAAAAACAAGAACAAAATGATGTTAAGAACAAACACTGACTCTATGATGAGGGAAGAGATTCACAAAGCTGCTCCGTTTTCTAGTCCTTAACTTTAACTGAGCTGACATCAAAGCTAAAGCAGACTATAAACAAGGCAATACCAGATTGTCCAGGTGAGCAGGAGAAATATATTTCACTCTGACTCCACAGCTCTTCAGGAGGTGTGAACATGTTTTCACCAACCTGTGCTCGTTGATCTCCATCTCCAGCTCTGCAGCTTTCGAGGCCATACTGCGCTGCTCCTGACGCATCTTCTGAAATGTTGCCACCACCTGTCACACAATGAATGAACATAGAAAGCAACACGATTATACATCAATATAGATACTCCAGATGAGTGATGGGCAACTTTGGTCACAGCAAGGGCCACATTAATTTAATTCTCACTGCCAGAGGGGACAAATTTTAGGATACAAAAACAATTACAGTCAATTTTATCTCCGATTTAACTCAACATATACCAGTGATCAAATATTATTATGGACATATTTCTGGTTTTCATGATTTCATGGCAGATTTAGTCATGTTTTCTTCATGTTTCCAATTAATTGATATATAAAAATTGACCTGAGGACCACGTTGAGGGTTGATTGGGGCCGCCAGTTGCCCACCCCTGCTCTAGATTTATACCACTTTTATTTTCAGCACCGTTAACAGAGCTGGATAAGAAACACTCAAACGCTCCGTCCTTCCATTAAAACAGATTGAAGCCATTCTGATGTATTTACTGCAGTATCTGTCTTACACTAGCTTCATCAATAGCACAAAATGCAAATGTTCAATGTGCTTCAGCTTGCCTGGTTTCAATATTTAGAATAGAATTACTTTATTGATCCCAAACTGGGAAATGAATGAATACAGATAATCAGTACTGCTTCTGTTAGAATTATCAATTTAACATTAAGCAAACGCTATAAGTTTTCATACTCCAGCCTAAGGCTGGGAAATATATCGAGTTTTTAAGATATATCAATATATTTTCAAACTAGTTATAGGGTAAGACAACATCGTTAATATGGATATAGTTTAAGTTGCATTAAAATAACATTACAGAGGTGCCAGGTCTCCTTTTTCTCATCTCACTGATGATGACTGACTGTCTGTCCCTCTTCACCCTGCTCCTCCTCTCTCTCTCTCTCTCTTTTATTGTATTTAAGGAACATTTTTATTTTATAATATTACTTTTTAAATTCACAAACAGGTACTTTATTTTCCATGTGTTTTCACTGTTAATAAAATACATATCCATATATATCGAGTATTGCCATTCAGCTAATCAATATCAAGATCTGAGTTTTGGTCCATATCTCCCAGCCCTACTCCAGCCTTTAAAATGTAGAATTTAACACTTGTAAACAATGTAAATATATTGGTTGGATAACTGAAGTCACTGATATCTCACTATGTTCCTTCGAGCTGCAGAAAACTACAATATGGATATTATAAAATGTTTGCCTTACATTTTTTTTGATTAAAAACATAAAATAATGGATGGAATGCAAACATTTTGTAAGGGAGAACTACATTAAAGTAGTTCTAATTGTACTAAAGCAGGGGTGGGCCACATGCGGCCCCCTTCAACCCTCAACGTGGCCCTCAGGTAAATTTTTTACATATCAATTAATTGGAAACATTTGTGGAAACACAATTATATTAAAGTAAGAGAGTAGTGAAGGAACAACCACCCCCCGCCCCCTTCTATTTACAGTTTTATTTTATTTTTATTAATATATATATATATATTTTTATTTTTATTATTATTAGTATTAGTTATTCTTCTCTAAATCTTAATTTAATTATCTTTTCTCTCTTCATACCTTTTCTTTGGATTTTTATCTATTTTTATTATTTCTTATTTTATTTTTTATCTATTTTAATTGTTTTTTATTATTATTAGTATTATTTGTATCTTCTCTAAATCTTAATTTAATCTTCGTACCTTTTCTTTAGATTTTTATCTATTTTATTTCATTTCATGTTGTATTCTTGTATGTTTAAATATATATATATATATAAAAATGTGCCAGGACGAACAAAATTTGTGATGAAATATGACAACTTGTAATGAAGTAAAACAGTCTGCAATAAAGTAATAAAAAAAACATGAAGAAATCTGCCATGAAATCATGATAATAATATTTGATCACTGAGTTAAATTGAGACATAATATATATATATATATATATATATATATATATATATATATATATATCTTTGACTGTAAGGGTTGAATTTGGCCCTCTGGAAGTGAGAATTAAATGAATGTGGCCCTTACTGTGACCCTCCCTGCACTAAAGGGAAGCAGCTGAATGGTTTCAACACTTAGTAAACATATTATTGTGTTATTTAAATGTTATTTAAGGAGGTTTGAGGTCTGCAGAGATAAAAATAGATTCTTCTACTTTCTCGAACTGAACAAAACCACATTCACACCTAACAGACTTTTCTTATTTAAATTAACTCACATTAAAACGTTTATTATTATTATTATTATTATTATTATCATCTTGAATAAGTGACTAACTTGATCTAAACAGAAGCTACATGAGAGGAAACACGATGTTTAAAGTGATGAGAAAGCAAAAAGAAGATGATGGGGAAGCTAACGTTAGCTTCAGTTAGCTTCCAGTCAGATTAAAGGCTTTATCATAGACGGACACGGTCGACCAGCGACGGCGGAGTTTGTACCGACTCCAGCCGCCTGAGGTGGAGGTAAATGTACCTGCTCGGCTGAAGGGCCGGACTGTTTCCCACCCGCGGTGTTGCTCGATTTGCTAACCGTGCTGCTACTGTTGGCTGCCATCTTGGAAGGGTGTTGCTGAGAAGGACCCCCGGACCGACGTAAAGCCGAGAGGGTATTACGTAAAGTGGTAGTTCATGTGAGCGCCTGTCGGGAAATTCTGCTCAGTTCGTGAAATATAGAAGTAAGTAAGTAAAAATCCAATATCTGTTATTAGTTTAATTTGTTTAAACAATGTATTTGCCTGTACGTAACAATAAAACACTGTGTTTTTTTTGTGTGTGTGCTGCTTTAAATATAATATGACAATGGCCCAACTCTTTCTTTCTAGTTGTTCAAATTAAAATCAGACACTCAAATGAAATGTTCAACATGGTCATCTCAGCTAATCCCAATAAATAGTCCTCTAATTTAAAATAAATAATTTGGTTAAATATCTCAATTTCTCTCTTTTTTTTTTAATTTTTATCTTCACATTTTATTAATTCAAATTTCTGTCTCATCCTCATAATAACCTCAGAGATGTAGAAAGTTAGAGGCAAGTAAACATATTTATATCTTCATTTCATTGTACAGTGTTCCCCTTTGTTATTGTTTTGTATTATATCTTTGCTTTAATACAGTTTATAGCTTCTGTACAGTTTATTTTAAATCACTTAGCTGTTACTACAACTTATTTATTTTTACTTTTACTTTTTTTTGTCTCTTTCTTCTCTTCTTTTCTCTCTCTTTTTTTTGTAGAAGCTGACTCAGGGAGAAACACACAAGAAATCAAATGTACCTGTACTGTCCTGTACCTGTGCAAATGGCAATAAACATCTATTCTATTCTATTCCAACGTACATTACAGGTCGGTGTTACCAGCAGTGGCAGGTCTTTCTCCAGCAGGTGGTGATAGTGTGGCTCAGTGTTGGTTTCCATCCTCTGATAAAGAACAGAGAAGAAGAAATGCACGGCTGACCCTCTCTGTTGTACAGTGAACACAGAGCAAACCAAACAGTGCAGGTGCCATGCTGTAAGGGGTCACTGGGACCAATGTTCATGGTGAGGTGCATTGTGGGAACATCTGCAAAGTCTCTGAGACAACGGATCAAACTGCAGAGCAGGTTTGTTTACTTTTCTGACAGGGGAATACTTGTCTGCACAGAGCCACAGAGGTTACATCTCTGAGAAAAGCTGCACAATATTCTGCAGTCGTTATAGAATAACTGACAGTTAATGATAAACCATGTTTGACCTGATGTACTTACCTGACATGTAGCGTCTGTTCTGTAGACATAACAACATCGTCCTCTCACTGCAGGATGTCCACTCTGCCTCGCCCCTTGGCTGCTGTTTGCCAGGTGACAGCCACCCCGGACAAACAGGCCAACCTCTCTGCCTGCAAAGAGCTGGTGGAGGAAGCCAAGGCTCGAGGGGCCAGCATGGTTTTCCTACCCGAGGCCTTCGACTACATCGGATCCAGTCGAGAGGAGACGCTGTCTCTATCTGAGAGCCTGACGGGAGACACGATGTCACAGTACACTCAGCTGGCCAGGTGGGTGAACTCTTTGTTCTTTCTTTTCCTAGAAAATGTTGACAAAGAGGAAGAAGTTTGGCTTTGTTCATCCCACAGGAGATTCATTTCTCAGGTCCCTTTTTCTTTTGTTTAAGTAAAAGTTTGAATCTCTTTCTTGTTTGACCCTGGTGTTTATCTCATTTATTTACTTCTAAACTCATTTTAACTGAGTGTTTTCTTACATTACTATTTTCATTGTTGTTATTCTTTAGTCTTGCAAAATGTAAATTCAATTCTGTTCTGATTCTTGTTCTGTGTTTTCCTGTTTGAAGCCCTTAAGGTGTATGTGTTGAATGTGAAAGATGCTAAACAGATGTTTAAAATACACTGCTATTTTCATGATGTAATAACCCATTAAGGAACAAGAGCTTGTGTGCTGCAGTATTTGAAGCTATGGAGTCTGCTCGTTGATTCCACCGTTGTGTACATCATTTAAATGTTGCAAAGCGAGTCTTGTTGGTAAAACTACTTTAACTGTGACTGATCTTTAAACCTGACCTCTCCTTCTTCCAGGAAGTTGGAAGTGTGGCTGTCTTTAGGAGGATTTCACGAACGAGGACACGACTGGGAATCTGACCGAAGAATCTACAACAGTCACGTGATAATAAATGATAAAGGTACGACCTCGAAAAAACCTGTGTTTACATTCTCTCACACCGAAACACAACACACTATTTGAACGGCTTAAGTATTCTTTTAAGAGCTACACACATGTTTTTCCTTTCAACGCTGACATGTTGTCATGACACCCACAGGTGACATCATTTCAGTCTACAGGAAGTCCCATTTGTTCGACGTGGAGCTGCCAGAAAAAGGCATATCCCTTAAAGAAAGCGCATTCACCATCCCGGGACCTTCGCTTGTATCCCCGGTCCAAACTCCCATCGGCAAAGTACTCCTGAAAATACACTCACACTCAATTCTTCATATGTTTGATCTGTGAAACGTACTGCTTCAGAAAACTACAACTGTTGAGAGAAATATTTAGACTCTGCGCTGTATCAAAATCTGAATATTTATCCTGAGAGGGGCCAGAGGTTGGAGTAATTCACAAACATTTCACATGTTTACGACTGAACCAAACATAAACAGCATTTTATATGTGAGGTTTAAATGGAATGTGCTGCAGAGAAAAACATAGCTTTGAAAAGGAAATCAAATTTTTTATCTGGAAGTGTTTAAACATTAAGCTTTCTGTCTCATCATTTTATAAAAAAAAAGTTGTTTTTTTTAAAATGTAAAGACTCTCTCTTTGAAATAATGTTTTGATACCAAATCTTCAGGCACTTCTTGCGTCCACTTTGAGCTCCTCATCTGTAGTTAAAGGCTTTATATGTGATTTTTTTTTTGATCCAGCTGGTGTCGCCCTTGAGCACCAGCATGAAACCAAAACAACTCGCTCTGCATTGTTGTGTTAGCATGCTAATGCTAGCGATCTTTATTATGCTCATATCTTCACACTGCATGTAAATTGACCTGAAATGAGCGTGATCTAGAAACACAGTTAAGCAGTGAGTACAGTATGTTATTCTTCTTTTCTCTAGTCCCTCAATTAAACAACTTTTATACGAGAGGGGAGGAGTCAGCCGGCCGTCCTGGCGATGTAAACAAAGTAAAGATAGGACTCTGAAAACTCTGAAAACATCACAGACAGTGGGACTCGGGTGTTACACCCATTGTAGACAGTCATGACTCACAGAGTTATTTTCAGAGGATATAACTTGATTTATATTTTATTTAAGTGTGAAAAATCACATATAAAGCCTTTAAACATTAAGATCTGTCTTTATTCTGAGTCTGGTGTTATTCTGTTGTCACAGGTCGGACTTGGTATCTGCTATGACCTGAGATTCCCCGAGTTATCTCTGGCTCTACAAAGGTCCGGAGCTGACATTCTGACTTACCCATCAGCCTTCACTGTGGCTACAGGAGCCGCTCACTGGGAGGTGGGACGTTACAACAAAGTGGATTTAAAGCCAAACAAACACAAACATGCTTTTTAAATGTCCCATGCGATGTTTTCATTCCCAGGTGTTACTGCGTGCGCGGGCGATCGAGACGCAGTGTTTCGTCTTGGCGGCGGCGCAGGTCGGCCGGCACCACGAGAAGCGCTCGTCGTACGGCCACGCCCTGGCGGTGGACCCCTGGGGGGAGGTGCTGGGGGACTGTGGGGGGAGAAGCCGGGGATGATGCTGGTGGAGATCGACCTGGAGAAGGTGGCGAGCACCAGGAGGAACATGCCGGTCCAACAGCATCGCAGAGACAAGGACTTCTATCAGAGTGTGGAGGAGACATGATGACAGGAGGAGAAAATAAACTTTTCATAAATAATAACAAGGGACACATGGAGTCATTTTGTACGTCATGTGAGGAGTTGATTCATTGTAGCCAAATGTTGAAATCTTTCTTCTCAATTTTTTTTTTTTTTGATTTTCTGGCTTAACTTTCGAGTCATCTCGTCATCTCTGCTGCAGGTTCTCTTATTTGCACATACAAAAACAGTCCAATCAAGAAAAGATTGACAGGGTTTATATTCAAGACGATACAAAAAAAAAAGTTTCAAAACAGCACATACGTCCAGATCGTTAAGTTGTGGGTGCTGGACAGAAATACAAAAGAAAAAGGAACATCAGAAGCTGCTCCAAAGTGCATTTAATGAAGTTTTATCCCCACATGTGACACACTGATGAAGGGGCCAGGACCCAAAATGTCACAACTGGTGATAAACTTCATTAAATTCTGAACAAGGTAATACTCCAAGTGGTCAATAGATGGTACTGTGGAGCTGAAACGAGAAAATGGAAGCCCTCCTTTTAAAACATTCCTGTTTCATGTAGTTAAGTTATGTGCCTGTATATTTGGTACTGAATGTATATCTACAAATTCAACTGTAAAGTTTTGTGTGACATTACGTTTGTTAAAATAAAAACTGTTGGAGATTAATAAAGATTTATAAAGATGATAAACTCACTCACACCGTAACATCACCTTCACCTGGTCCGATTGTCTTCTTTACTGAAAACAAACATGTTACCTTTTTCTAGGCCCGACCGATGTGGGGCTTTTGGGGCCGATACCAACATCGATATTAGGGAGATAATTGTTTAATTTCAGTTTAATTTATTACCCTCTTAAGTCACTAAGGACAAAAATGTCCACTTCCAAAAAACTTTTATAAAAGTAGAACAGATTCATATTTGTTTCTTTTGTTTGTTTAAACAACTCCAGCCCTGCTCAAAACTACCAAATATTGAATAATTATCAGGAATTAACCCTTTAAATGCCACAATCATGTAATCAAGCTGGCATTTAAAGGGTTAAATTCCTGATATATGAATTCCTTTCTTACAAAAATGTGTGCCATATGCACTAACACAGCACAAAATGACGGCCAGATGAAGAGGAAACATTTGCCCAAATGGACAAAAATGTCCATAATGATGCATGAGGGTTGAGGCTTTCAGCCGTTCTCACCGAACAAAGAAAAGATAAACTTAGCTCAACCTCAAACTTTGACCTCCTCTTTAATGAAATGAGAGTCCTCGTTCAGTTAATCAGTCAGGACATATTAGATTTGTCACAATAATGAATCTTAATGTATTACTCTGTTTGTGTTTATTAGTGCATTCACTGAAGCACTGTGCCTCAACACTAATGTGAGGTTACATGTTCTGAACTCAAGTCTTGTTTTGATCTTTCACTTCAACCCGAATATATTTCAAGAGAGAACGTCTTTCTTTTCACTACAAAAAAATAATCAGAGATCTTTAGTTTCTGGTTAAATGTATTTTTTCAAATATGTTACAATGTAAAACTGTTGTTTTACTGTCATTTGTGAAGATGTCCCCTTGAACTCTGGGTTTCTATGACAACATTTCCATTTAACAACAACTAACATTAACAAAAAGCAGACAGTGCTGCATGGGTGAATCCCTCTGGTGCTCTTCAGTGTGGAGATCCCATTTAGAAGCTCTTGAAGAGGTCTGAGGCAACAACCTTTAATTCATCAGGGCTACAGATTGAAAAGATATAATACCTGCCCTGATGAAGCAGTATGCCTGGAACATGTTGCCACATTTATTTTGAATCTGTAGTCCTGATTAATATGTTAATAAAGGCTTTTTATGCATACCCACCTGAGTGCATCAGACCTCTTCAATAACAAACTTTATCAGTCGCAGTCTTGTACAAAAAGTTCAAACTAGCTCCACCTAAACCTGAACGCCTACAACAATTAAAACCTGCATGAACACAAATATAATAAACATTATCATATCGTATAACAGTGACAGGAGGTTTGTTTCTGCATTGAGTATTTTATACTTTCCAAACTTTAAGCACATTTATTCTTTTGAAATCTAACTTAATCTAACTTCACAGCAACAATACGACCTGCAGTATGTTGTTTACGTCGCTATATTTGTGCATTAACTTGCAGGACCTGCACACGTCCTCCACATTCTGCTTTTTGAAGTGAAACCTTTCACGTAAACGAAGGCAGAAAAAGTCCAAAATCTCGCTCCACATTATTTATAAATGAATTGAATTTATTTCAGACATATCAAACAAAAACAAACATATCAAAAACACAAAACAAAATGAAAAGCACGAAAATACAACAAATAAACAAAAAACAAATCAAATTATTTCACAAAAAAAAAAGAAAATTACATATATTCAATTGATCCGCCTGAAAAGGAGTAGGAAGAAGTATAAAACTTATTTAATCCTACCCCTTTTCCACAGCTCAATAATTAATATTTATTAAATTAAATTCCTGTGTTCCTTATAATCTCTTTATATATACAATCTATCTATATACAATTTGCTATACTATTATTATTATTATTTATATATATATTTTCCTTCTTAAAGCTCTCCCTCATCCCTGTACCTTTTGAAAATCATTGCTTTGTACATGTTTTTAAACTGGATCATAGTGAATTTGTAAAGCATGCATTTTGGTCCATATGTCTTTCCACATCCAGTCAATCCAGCATGTTGCTCCTCAGCCTTTTCATTTCAGCGACTGAATGAATAATTGATCACTTTCTCTCCTCCTGCCTGTTTCTATGTCAGGATGGAGGGTGCCAGGGTGGAGGGTGTCAGGGTGGAGGGTGCCAGGGTGGAGGGTGTCAGGGTGGAGGGTGCCAGGGTGGAGGGTGTCTGCTGCTGCTGCTGCTGCTGCTGGGATGGGAAACCGGAAGTGAACGTCACTGACACAGGAATGGGACTGGGAAAAAAAAGAAAAAAAAGAAAACACACATCATGATGAGGAGGAGAATGTCAAATCCACTCGTGTAGGAAACAGAAATCTTTTCGTTTTCCACGCAGGAAAAAAACGATGAACTGTCGCGATCGGGCTGGATTTGAGGCATCGGGAAGGTACGTGATGTTCTTTGTGTTGTTTTGTATTTATTTATTTATTTCTTCATTATTTTTAATATAAAAGGTTACGGCGTTAGCCTGCGTTGTGTTTCACCATCCGAGGCCATCCATCCATCCCTCCATCACATTTAGTGAACTCACCGGTGGATTTCTTCACATTGTTGTCGCTGTTGAACAGATGCTAAGTTGTTTAGCTTGTGTGCTCACATGTCTGGATGTAGTTTCTGGGTTTTTATTTAAAGACTCAGGCCTGCAGCTGCATCCAAAGGGAAGAGCTGCACAATCTGCCTCCTCGCAGTCTCCCCGTTTCATGTCCACTTTTTCTGGATACTTCCACCATGTAATGCAGATGTAAGGCTGATGTCTGCAGGATGATCACCATGCTGCTCCTGTCATGGTGGCTCTCTTTAAGTCTTCTTCTTCTTGCACATTTTGCCTCCTTTCTAAAAAAAATGAAACCTCCTAATAACACTGTTTTTCCTAAATCAGTCAGCAACCTGTTAATAATTACTTTTCTCCTGGTCAAAGAGTGTGTACAAAGTAAAGCAGGATAACACACCCATATATCTGCTGTGCTGCTTTTATCATATTGAGGTTTTTTTCTTTTTTAAATATATATTTTACACATATGACTTATCATAGACTTTTGTAACTAGTGTTTGATTCATTAAACCAAACAATTTTTATCCCCCCCCAAAAAAAAAGTCAAAAATGTAATTCTACTAAAAAGTTCTATCTGTTCATTTTGCCTTTTTTGTCTTAAGTTGCAGCCTCTTAAGACTCATATTTCTGTCGGTCAATGTGTGGTTCTTTATTGATTCACCTTTAAGTCTTTCTAATGTCTAAATGTAAAGTTGATCATCCCAGTATTTATTTTATTTTTTTTAACTAAATTGCATTATTAATTTGTTATGTCATTAACCAGCCAGCAACTAATGTAAACCTTTGACTGTTTCTCGATACCACGACCATTTAATAAAGTTAAACAACACAATAACAGAGCTGGATAACAGTTAGCTAATTTGATCTAGGAATTAAATTACTGTTTACATACTTTTTGTTTACTTGGGTGTTTGTACCTAAATAGTGATGAAACATTTTTGTTGTAAAGTGGAGTAATATAAATATAAAGATAAAGATAAACTTTATTGATCCCCAAATTTTTGCGTTACGACAGCTCAAGAAAACAGGAAACATATTTAATTTACAACCATTTACCACTCTGTTTTTGCATATTTACTTTTAATCTTTCATATTTAAGACTAGTAATGCTTAGTTAAATCCTGGTTGTATATATTCACATTCTTAGTTTTGATATTTTTAGTACTTATTTACTTTGTATTTAATATTATATTATGTTTAAATTTGCTAACATTGTGTTTTTTTGTTAATATTGTGTGTTTGGACAAAGTGCTGCTGTAACGCCACAATTTCCCAGTTTGGGATCAATAAAGTAATTCTATTATATTCTATTATTCTATTCTAAACAGGAATATAATTATTAAAAATAACAAGAAGTTAAAAATCAAACATATTTACATCAGTAGAAAAAATACAATAATAGAATAATACAAGGTATGTACACTTCCACTTGTGGAAAGAGTTATTGTTATTAAAAACACACACAGTGTGTAACATTATTGATATGAGTGATGCTGCTTATCCCTCAGCTTTGAAACAATCTTCAGTTTTTATTCAATCTGGAAACTTTCATTTTATATTCCTGCTTTTTATCCCATTTTTTTAGGCTACATTTTATCAGCGTTTGAGTTTCCTCTCCTGGACGGAGGTCAGAGGAAAATGGCCAAAGAAATAATATGGTTAATATAGTTTTCCAAAAATTGGTTTCTTGTGACAGAGAAATCATTTCAAGCTGGTAAACAGGAAGAGTTAATAATAAACATGAAGTCAAGTTAATGTTTCCCTGCTGTTACCTCTTTTCTCCAACACTGTTTCATAGTTTTCTGATTATCCGTCCTCTCTCAGTCCACGTGTCGGTTACAGGTCAAACTGCTGCAACGCTCCTTATTAGATGTAAGTGTGGTTTTAATCAGAGCTCCTGATTGTGTTATGTCTGTCTGGAGTGTCTGCCCCCCCGTTCTGTTTCAGACAGTGGCTATGTTTCATTTCAGAGTTCATCTCCTTCCTAATGACACTTTCTTCCTTTATTGGAAGAGAAAGATAAACTAAAGGATAAGCAAAATGTTTTTTACTTTATTTTCAAACTAAATGACTTGCCTTTCATTCTACTATGGGGCGCCGGTAGACTAGTGGTTAGTGCGCGCACCCCTCGTACAGAGTCTTCTTAGCGAGCGGCCCAGGTTTGAATCCGACCTCTTGTCTCCTTTCCCGAATCTTTACCCACTCTGACTCTAAATAAAGACATACAAATTCCCAAAATAAAGCCTTTTATATATTTCAACAACAACCAAATGAGCTTAGGTGCTAGCAGGGAGTGTTAGCAAATATTAGCAACATGTCAGCCATCAGTTGTTGTGTATATTTTTAAACCTCACATCGGCACGAAATGTCTGCCAGTTACCTGAATCAGTATCTGAAAGGTTTAGTGTCCAAGCATCTCCAGACTGAAGTTTCTATTTAAAAGGGATTAATGCGTTACTAAATAGTTAGTAGAAACACTTTGCAACAGCTTGTTGTTCTTTTCACCCGTTTTTTCCTCGTCTGTAAAATAGAATTAGGCAAGTTGTTTTTTTTCTAGGATGATCTACTGCTGTCTCTCAGGAGAAATGATACTCTCAGAGTGGCGTAGGCTGGAAGAAATTGATATCTGACAAAGCGAGCCCCCACAAAAACACACACACACACACACACACACACACACACAATGAGAAAGATTTCTTGAATGACTGAATTCCTTTTCATTTACTGGAGGACATCAATTATTCATCCCTCAGCATTCATTTTTAAAAAGAGGAACCTCCTCAGTCTTCAGTCAGGTCTGTTGACCGGTCACATGTTGGCACCATGACTATAAGGTTCTTTACATCATTTAGATTCCAGGTGTCCATCCTACTCTGACTTTTTTTTAAAAAGTGTGCAAACATACGACACATCTTACGCTGCAGCTGACTATTTCACTCACACTCAACCTTCGAGGTGAATAACTGAAGAGTGATGAAGTCATGAAGGCTGAGAAATTATACTTTTGTTTTGGACAATATGGCGATTTCTGTCTCAAGTTTGGATTGTCACAAGCAAAAAGTTGCATTTTTCCTATAACTAGAAAAAAATACTGTAAGAATTATAGAATATTTGTAAAAAAAAATAAAAAAATAATTGTCAACATATTACTGTCTTTATTTTTTTATAATCACTCAAATTGGTTTGTTAGCAATCAAAAATTGGAGTCTGAACAATGGTGGATTTGTTTGAGGCCAAAGTTGCTTTAAGAGCTTTAAAAAAAAAAAAGACAAAATATAATTCATAAAGGGTTAAAAGAACATCCATGTGGTGGATTAGGAGCCCAAACCTCACCTTTAACAGGTGACGTCCAGCATAGAGGTTGTGCTGTGTGTGGCTCTGGTTGTGTCTGTGTTTGTCTTTTGGTTGGTTTATAAAATCCAACAGCCAGCGGCGGTGCTGACACTGCAGATTGTCAGCTGTAGTTAGGGTTAGGCTAAGTCACCAAATGCTTTATTATTGTTTTTATTTCAGAGAGTTTGGTTTGGTTTGGTTTGGCTTTCTTTAAGCTCCTTATTTTTTGACCTTCAGTGTTACTAACACTGTTTCATAAAGTCCATACATTTTAAAGAACGTTCTTTCACTGGTCAGAAATCAAACAACACGGGATCTTCTGACTCGAGGTTAATACATTTCACGGATTGTATTAAATCAGTTTAAGTCCTGATATTTAACAATCAGCATTTGTTTAAATGTAATCACTGAATGATTAATGAAAAGATAAATAGATTTAAAAGCTGTAATTACAACTTAATGTTCCTGATCTATCATCTATGATTACTCCATTATTTAAGAACTACGTTTCAGACTTATTCAGATGTTGGTGACTGTGCTGTCTGAAGCTCTGTGTTGTGTCGATGGATGTTTTGCTCCTTTTATTGATTTATTTATTGACCGGCTGCTCGCTTCCTGTCTGAGTGATACGTGTCTACTCATGGCTCCCGTCTCTGAAGGAGGTGTGAGCGTGTCGCTTTAGAGGGGAGAGGCCGAAAACGCTGAGTCATGTTCCAATGGACGACACCTCCATAGTAACCGGCAGGAGGAAGATAAGGCAGGAGATATGTAAAACCAACAGACGCTGTAACGTTTTGTCTCCTGCTGTCGATTATTCTGCTGTTATCCACGAACACACACACACACACACAAACAGATTCACTATACTCCCTCAACTGAGCTTAAAACACCAACATGAATCCTAGCAGCCGCTCTGAAATCCACACATTCTGAGGAAATGATCAAAACAGTAATTATGCCAAAGAACTTGACGTGAACTGAACGTGTAAAGGACTGTTATTGTGGTAGCTCTGAAATGACACCAGCAGAGAGAAATTAAAGGAAAGTAACATGTTTCATGAAAGCAGACCTAAAGAGGCTGAGATGAACAATTATCTGATCTCAAACTGAACAGATGGACAACCTGCATTTTACACTCCAACTCTAATTTTACGTGCTTAGCAACTTTCTGTCAGTCAATACTGATGATGGGCTTGTTACTTATCAACCTCCCTACAGGTTTAGAGACAGCTTGTGTTTTTGGGGTGGAAATCACAAGAATTCTTTTTATATAATATTGATCAATTCCTTGGACAATTTAAATCATAGTTAAGAGTCCTAGAATCCATACAAGAAGTTATCAAAGCCATTAATAAAGTCATACAATCAGATTGAAGGAAAATGTAGAACCAGGTCTCGAGGAAAATGTTCTCAATTCCCCAAAAACTCTTCTGCCATGTGTAGAAATGTTTCTTCTAAATCTTAAGGCGTTGAATCCCAACGAATTAAGGGAAAGATGTAAAGAAAGCTTAGTGGGATGAAGAAGAATGAATGGTGTACATTTCCCTGTAGCTGGCTGCATCCCTTTCCTCAGGGCCCAGTCATGCTAGCTCTGCAGTCTGAAACTGAAAGTCAAATAACAGAACCATATCATCACATGGGCTCTACCTCGCCATTTACTCCGCAAACAAGCTGAATTGAATTTCCTATTTGCACTGATGCAATAGAGCTCCAAGGGAAGTCCTGTCTCCTGATGGATCAGGGCTGATATTGGCGAGGGGGGGGGGAGTTTCTCTTTCCTCTTTGCCTCACATTAGTTTGTGCCAGAGAGGATTACGCTCTTCAGTTTCACCGTTCGTGTTTGCAGAAGACTTTTGTTCTGATAGCTTCTGCAGTGGTGGGGTTTTACCATCAAGCCAAAGTGTCGAAATGTATTAGTCAGAGGTGAGTGAATTTGACTGCAACAGCCCACAGGAGGAGAGAGAGAGAGAGGCCTGATGCAAAGAAAACGTTAATGTTAGTTATAAAGCTGGTCTGAACTAGAGCCTGACCAATAAACAAGCTGGTCCACCAATTGCAATGCAGACCAACCGAAGTTTGTGATGGTTTAAAAATAACGCTGTTAAGAGATTACATTTCATCCCAAACATTTACTGAATAAACATCTGCAATAATACTAAAAAAAAGAACAGTTTACGCCTCATTTCCACTTATATGTACGGAGGCAAGTCAACCAGGACGTCCATTCATTCCTGTGAGGATCTCTGTGATATCTGACGCGACTACTAAACTCCTCCCCACCAGAATATTCCGGTCTGGAATGTGCGCTGAAACATTCAAATATTTGCACTTTGGGGGATGGATATCAGACAGGGTGCTAGCTTAGCTAAATGGCTGCTAACGAGCTAACAGGCTATTTTAATCGATTCAGTTTCCAATGTTGAATTTAAAGTTTTTTTTGTTTAAAAATAACTTGTTTATCAAGTTTTGTTTTATTGTTACATAACATATACAATTGTAATATTTATATATATATAAAAAAAAAACATGGATGTAGTCTCAGTGACATCACCAATTGGTTTCTGAAGAGGCGCTAATGAAGCCCAATGACGGCGGTCGCCATATTGGAAATGCTGATTCCAGCTAACACCGGGCTAATCTTGTGTATTTCGTGATTGGTTACCAGAAAACTGTTGCTGCCGTTTGCCTGCTGCCTGACTGGTTCCATGCGTTGGAGACGTGGCGTTGTATCTGTTCTTCTTTTAACTTGACCTCACAAAACTCTTTAAGTCGTCCTGCGGTGTAGCGCTGGGAGGTGTAAAAGGTTGAACTTGGTGCAAATGTTCCCTGATGTGCAGGAGCAAGGTGAGAACCAATTCTGCTTTCATTGCCTCTTGAAACTTCAGTTGAAATAGAGTAAAAACAAACTTCCCACTTTGGCTTGATGTATTAAAAATAAGTTACAAGAAGAAAACATAAGATGGAGACAGAACCGTCAGTGGATGAAAAACTATTGTTATGTAGATATAGAATATTAAACATAGACTAGCTGCACAATCAGAGCTGGCTTTATCTCACATACTGCACTGCTTCCCTAAGGGCTTAGACTGCAGCAATTTCATTCTGCCAATATTGATATTCAAACAGTGATCATATGAGCAGCAGTGTGTTTTTAAGATTTTAGCTTAGCTTCCACTTTATTGTAATAATACATAATATAACTCAATATAAGAAATAATACAAACTGAAAATGCATTTGACCTTCTCCTGCATCGACATTCAGTTCTTTGCACATTCTGGATAAATTATTATTTTTTTTTTGACATTCTGGAGAAATCGACTCTGAATCAACTGAGCTGACTCCAGCTTTTCTTTCTTCTTCTTTCTCACTTTGGCCTTTTCTGAATGTCACCTCGGTCTTTGGCACACTGCAGGAGAGAGAAATCAAGACAAAAAATCAGAATGAAGAAGTAAATCGAAACCACTCAGGTCAACATACAGGGCGCTCAGACATTTGTTGGGTTCTGATATATAAAGGGAATATGGCGCCGGCTGTCAGAGTGTGACTGATGAGTAAAGATCAGTCTACACTAGCGATGAACATTAAAGGTCCATCTTTCTCCTCCTCTCTGTCACTTAAATACTTTGTGACTCGTCATGTCTACAGGCGGGCATTTCTTAAAAATATCTCAGGTGAATCTTTCTTTTTCTGGAGTCATCGTGCTCGGCCTCGTGGGGAACATTTGCGGTCACGTCCCTTTGAGTCATGTTTGTGATTACAGATGTAGGTGCAGTTCTCTTGTTGTCCACATGGAGGCGAGGTCTGAGCGATGGTGAGCAGCTGTGCGTCGACGCAGCTCCGTCTCTCTTCTCCAGTGGTGTAATAACTATTATGGGAATAATCCTGTCTTTGTAGGTAGGATGTGTCCCTCTTTTAATCCCTCGGTCTATAAATACAGCAGAGTGTCCACACAAGAGAGCAGCTCAACATCAGCGCCAAAACATCAGGACATATTTACCAAAAGAGAAAAATGAAATGAAGACATAAACAATCCAGACAGATAGTTCATTCCTGGTTGTGTTCGATGTCACCAAGGTCTCTGAAGTGTCCTTAAACTAAACAGAACTCCACGATCAAAGGTGTTTATTGAAGACGTTCCTTTAACGGAATAAAGACTGGAATGTCATTTTTATAGCCTAAAACCATTTGACAAATACTGAACAACTAAATCCATCAAGTCAGACTGGTTTTCATTATTTGAATAGCAAAGCCTCCACCAGTGTGGTTACAGTATTCCAACCAAGATGATCTGATACCAACAGTCAGGGAGCTTTCAAAACCACAATAATATAGAAAATTACAAAGATAGTGGCATATGTTCATCATGTAAAAATCGAAATATCTGGGTCTGTAATTTCACAATTCAATAAAAGACTTTTTTTCTTTATTGGTATAATTTCCTAATATTTCTTTGTAGGGAAGATTAGACTTCAAAGATAAACTCTCGTCATTCCTTATGTATTCTGAATTGTGAGCCCTTCCTGCAGAGATATTTCACACGTCACCATCTCCTGGACAGTGGGTATAGCGGTCTTAATAACGGTCTTCAGAACACGTTTTAAGGTCTCCATCTCGGCCTTGTCTCGGTCTCAGACTGGGCAACTCTGGATTTTAAATCAAGACCGGTCAAGACCACGACTGACAGGCTATTTTTCATGACTGGGATTAGACGGAAACTCCCCTCTCTAAAAGAACCAATTATTAATTCTCTTTGCAATATGACCAGGTTGTTTATTTCATTCACAGAAAAGTCTACCGAGAGTTTATTCTTAAAACCAAAGACTGTGAAATGAAGAGCTCCAAACATGGAAATAACACATTAGACACAAGGTTAAAGTTCCACAGCTGACGTAAGGATGCCTTCACAACATGAGATTTGTTGTTAGTTTGAAATCTTCAGCTGCATGTCAAACGTATTCTTCCTCTTCTTGCATCTGTGGTCAGGTGCTTCAAATATTTGTTCTCAGATTTCCCTGGCTCGTCGACCCTGATGCGCCTCACGAGTTCCACTTTGGCTCGCTCTCTTCATCATCCGACATCGCGTCTCTCTGAGGCTCCTCTGGCAGCGCACATTTATCTTCAGCTGTAATAAAGGATCATCTTCATCATTCGTCACTTAACACACCTCCTCCCCTCGTCCTTCTTACTTCATCTTCCATCAGCTTACACCTCAGTGACGGCGGTCTTTCCTTCAGACTGTGTGTGTGATCTCTCAAGGTCATCTTGCACTTTGAAAACCTACTTGATGCTTTTAGTCGGTGTGTCGGTTTTGTCTTGATGACCTTTTTGTCCGTGGTGTTTAGCCAAGAACACTTTGACTCCTAACACAAAGTAGAAAAAAAGAAGTTTCAAATGTTGTTTAGATTAAGAAATTGAAATCTATAGGTAGAAATAATAGGTAGAAAACTGCGACAGTCAAAGGACCTCGTGGGCACCTGTTTGTCACTTTGACTCTTAAAGGAGACATATTATGAAAATCCACTTTTACAGTGTTTTTGAACTTATATTTGGGTAACCTGAGTGTCTACTGACCCACAAAATGTGAAATAAACCCATATAGGCCTTTGTTTGTAGTCTGCAAAAGTCTTACAACACAGAGAAAAATGCTCCGTTTCAAATTTGCTCCCCTTGTGATGTCACAGTGGGATTCTGTTTTTTTTTTTTAAAAACCTCCCGTCCACTGGTATCCCCACCCATGGACTCCACCCCCAACCTAAAGCAAAACTTTTGAGCCTGTCCGCCATTTTTCTGCTCGCTACAGAGGAGTGATGTCTACCGGGAAAACTCAGGGGGCGGGGCTCATTGCATTTAAAGAGACACACACACCAAAACGGAGCGTTCTGAGAGAGCTGGTTTATACAGGGTCACAAACCTCCTCTGGTGCTTGATTCATGTTATATTTTGACCAAAGCACAACACAGATGTTTCATTTAGACCACAAGGGGACTGATTGAAAAGGTGAAGAAGGGGGATAATATGTCCTCTTTAAATTAAGTTTTTTGCTGGATTTTAAATGTGTGTAGAAGGTTTATTCTTCCATGACAGCATTTCTTCTGTTCATCCGTCTGTCTGTGCTGTTAACTTGTGATCCGGTTTTGCATGCTAACAACCCCCCCTACTCATCTTCTTCATACCTGTCAGACTCACAACACCTTGTAGACTCGTCAAACTAGCATCCTCACCAACACGGTGTGTATATCTCCACCACTCCTTCCTTTCCTCCCTCCCTCCCTCCCTCCCCCCCTTATCATCCAGGGCACCGGCGTGTTGCTAAATGGAGTCGGAGCAGCTGTACCACAGAGGCTACTGCAGGAACAGCTACAACAGCATCGCCAGCGCCAGCAGCGACGAGGAGCTGCTGGAGGCCGCCGGCGTCATCATGGACTTCCACACCACCGAGGATGACAACCTGCTGGATGGGGATGCTGCCTCCCCAGGTAGGGGGGATAACACCTCCAGTCCAGTCCCGCCCCTCCCCCCTCCAGCTGTCTGATTTGGTCCTTTTGACGCACCCAGACAATCCTCACTGTTCCAATCGTTGAGTTCTCAGTGAGCGTCAGTTCTGTTGAGTCATCCAGCTGCTGATGTCAAGACGCATCAAGTGTGTTGCTGTGCTGTGACGCAGTCGCTCTGCCATCCGCCCCCCCCCCTCCCTCGTCTCCATCCACCACCCATCAGCTGCTCCATTTGTCCTCCTTATACCCCGACTGCTTCAACCCTGCTCCCTGTTTGTCTGAAACAGCCTCACAAATGGTTACAAAAGAGTTTACTGACATAATCAAATCTCTTTCATTCTTTATCTGGCCTCAGCAGTTGACCTTTAAACTGTTTGACATTTTGAATGCATCCTACAGTTTTTTTTAAACAAAGGAGACTGAAACTATAAATCTCAGCTCAGAATCAAAAAACAATGATTCAAACTTTGTCACCAAACATCAAGATCTTCATGGCATGGTGGTCCATATTAATCCAGACTACATCAATCGTTTGTAAGGTTCAAAGTAAATTATTTAACACATAATGAAACACTATTTTTTTTCCCCCATTTGAAGCTAAATTGTTGGAATTTTGTTAAAGAAATAACAAAAATGTCTCGCATGCTGCTACGCTAGGAAGCTAGTCCAAACATTCAATTAATCTGCCCTTTAGTTTGACATGATACACATATTTTTGGAATGAGATAATTGGGGAGACGATGCTTACCACTTATACATTATCAGAAGACGATCGGTCAGATTGTTTCATAATAAATACATTCAATTCAATCCACATCACAGCAGCCATCATGGTTGTTTATATTAAAACCTAAAGGCTCTTAAACCCACCCCGTTCAGGATGAATGGTTGAGACCAAGAGGGACCCCGCACACACATCTTCCTCTCAATAAGACTCCCGACAGATTTATTCTGACAAACAAAATGCTTTAGAGTTAAAGCTCAAATTAAAACCACTTTAAAAACAGCTTTAACTTTGGAAACATGATGCATCTGCCCGAGCAAACTCTTCTTGGAGCGCTGATGGCCTAGCGGTTAAATCGTTACCCATGTACAGAGACAATAGTCCTCCAAGTCCAACCAGTGGCTCCTTTCTCGTATGTGATTCCACACTACTGTCCTACATGCATCTAACTAAAGGTAAAGCCTAAAAATAAATCAAGAAAGTATAAAGTAAATAATAAAGTAAAATGTTGAATTTCTTCAGCTTCTTTAGCCATTTATACATTTTTATCATTTTCTACAAAGCTATTTGTAATTCCAGCGATATGCTGAAGACTTGATCGAGATTCTTTTCAGTCATTTAAAACGACTTCATAACCATTTGTAAGACTCCCTAAGAATCCCATTTTCTTTTCTTTTTTTAAATATACATTTAAGTTTGTTTGTCTTTTATTTCTTACTCTTCCATTTGTAATTGTGCTTCTTGTCTTAACTCCTCTTACCAAACTTGACTTTGCATGCCTCTATAGCTCTTTCCTGCTCCTGTATCCTGCTTGTGATCTCTTCACCTCTTCAATGTTTCCGGCAGTAGATTTTGTGCTCTCACTTGTATGTGTGCATTGACGCTGCTTGTTGATCCTCCTCCGTCTTGTTACTTGGTTGCACTTTCCCGTCTGCACATCAAAAAGAGGAATGGTGGTAGTAATAACCCAGACACGTGGCTGAGTCTCTGTTCTTATTGTATTCAGAAATGCGTCATCATCACCCTGCTAAATATAGAAGAGCTTAGGTGTGGTGAGGCATGTATGTGAGACAGTGATAGTAGCTCATTATATCATTTATTATTATTACTATAAAGGGCGTGTTGAGATTCCTGCTGAGTTTTAATGATCACCTGTGTTTACTCATCTCTGCCGTGCCACAGAAATGCTGTCATACCTGTCATACCTTACAGTCACCTTGTTACTCATCCATTCAGCTTTTCTCTGGCACCCTGACCGGTATATCTGGTGTCCCATCATCATCTGATCTGCTGCATCCGCTTTGTCTGAGCAAATGTGCTGTTTAATCTGCGTCTAGCTTTAGTTTGGACTCACAGCTGATCAAACAGAAGACGTGGGGGGGGATGTCAAAGGTCTCGGCTGAGCCTGGATCTCCAAACATTGTCTCATGAGCTAGTTTGTAAAGCAAACTAGTGTGTGTGTGTGTGTATGGGATGAGGACAGTCTGATCTGTTTAAACTCGGGTTTAAATGTGTGCTGAGAAAATAGAGTTTTCCCTGTTGTCTATTTGAATTGGCTAAATTGGATTAACTGACTTTAACTGAATATAAAAATGCACTTCTTTTTTGCAAGGCTGCGATAAAAGGAAACAGACTTGTTGCTTTTAGGGAACGAAGCTCTTTTTTCCTGCCACACGCTTCTCTGTCTTCTCCATTTTCTGTGGCGCAACTTTCTTTAGTTCGAGTCAGCAGTTCCTGTTTTGCAAGACTCACTCTATTTAACCCTCTCTCAAACGATGTGATGTCAGAATCCTCTGCGGTTGGAAGTCGTGAGTTGTTGATGTGACAGTGTTTCTTTAAACGTTACGGTTGCCTGTTTGCCTTCAGTTGTTATGATTTATAAGTGTAGTAAAGCATAGCAGTGATGCAAAGGAGTCTAGACTCATTCATAATTGAACAGGAGACTGTGAGTGAGCAGGCGATTCAGTAGGCCAGAAATGACTTTACTGTATTTTACTGTATTTACTTGTTAGCTTACTTGCTACAGCCAAATAAATACAGGAGTTTTTATACAAGTTTAAAAAACATATACAGGTCTTAAAGGGAGAATGTGCGACTTTTTAATCCAGCAGATGTCGCCCATGAGCACCAGCATGAAACCAAAACAAACTGCTGTTTGGCGATAACTCTGCCATAGTTAAGCCTCCGCTCTCCTCCAGCGACGCACCACCAACACCCCTCTCTCCTTGCGTTCACACGAAGGAGTTATACATCGGAATGCACCGTAATTAAACATAATGAAGCTCAAGTGGGGGACAACATGGTCCTTTGCTTGAGTTGCAATTGCCTGCATTGTTTTGTTAGCATGCTAGTGTTAGCACGCTTTAGTTAGCCTGTAGCTTCACGTTGTATGTTTTCAGATCAGAGTGACTGTGATATAAACGCTAACTTGACATTCAGTCAGCAGTGAGAAGGCTGAATGTTCTTCTTTTCTCTAGTCCTTGGCTAGATACGCCAGGGGAGGAGCCAAAAAATATAAATCAGCAATGCTACATTTTTTTCGTTGATAGCTTACAAAAACAGGGTAACATTTCATGTTTAAAGGCTTTATATGCGATTTTTTTTGATCCAGCAGATATCGCCCTTGAGCAGCAGCATGAAACCAAAACAACTCGCGGTGCATTGTTGTGTTAGCATGCTAATGCTAGCGATCTTTATTATGCTGGTATCTTCACACTGCATGTAAATTTAGCTGAAATGAGCGTGATCTAGAAACACAGTTAAGCAGTGAGTACAGTATGTTATTCTTCTTTTCTCTAGTCCCTCAATTAAACAACTTTTATATGCGAGGGGAGGAGTCAGCCGGCCGTCCAGGCGATGTAAACAAACTGAAGATAGGACTCTGAAAACTCTGAAAACATCACAGACAGTGGGACTCGGGTGTTACACCCATTGTAGACAGTCATGACTCACAGAGTTATTTTCAGAGGAGATACTTGATTTATATTATATTTAAGTGTGAAAAATCACATATAAAGCCTTTAAAGTTTTCCTTTTTGGACCAAATTGTAAAGTATTACTGTAAATGCCTCGGCTCCACCTCCCAGTTCCACCAGTCCTGATTGGTGTGTCTGTTGTCATCCAAACTTGCTCCGACATTCCCATGAACCAGTTTGGCTGCCGCCCGCTGTGAGCGTGCGTTTTCAGGAAATCTCCAAATGAATGTTGTTTGAAGTTTGTGTGTTTGCCTCTCTCTGCCTCCCTGGGCTATTTTTAAATTGTAGTGAGGGGTGAGTTCTTAGGAAAGTGTGTAAAGCCCTCCTCCTGACTGTGACTGCAGCGTGAGCAAAGGGGGCCGGCTCACTCTTTTCTTTTACCTTGTGAAGATTTTCTGCTGAAACTTTTTGTTTGCTGAGGACATTGTTGTTTGTGAGATATCTGAAGAGTTGAGGAATGACGGGCCCTTGATCTGAGAAGGACTTACTCCGCTTTCTTCCACTCATTTCGATTAAGGACACTGGAGATTCTTTTCTTGCTATTTACGGCTTCGGTGTCCTTCATTAGGACTTGTTAAACAGGCGTGTGAACTATGGCTGATATCACCTGTGCCATTGCCTAGCAACAGGAGCCCTGTTGAAAGGTAAGGAGGTTTAAAGGTATGACAGATATTACAGCCAGTGAAATGTCAGGGTCCCATTGTCTAAGCCCTGAAAGACCTGTCTTTAGCTGCATTGTTTCATATCATAACACATGATCGCATCAGGTTTACAAAACACCTTCTGACTCTGATTCTACCCAGGGAATGCAGGGAAGTGTAGTTCTCATACAATTAGTTCAAACAAAACATGAATTCAGTCCTTTATTTTGAATGCTGAAGGCAAAGCAGCAATTTAGAAGGCAAGGCCAGTTTATTTATGTTGCACATTTCAACAACAAGGCAATTCAAAGTACGTCAGAGGAAAGAAAAGAAACATTAAAATAGAACATTAAAAAAAAAAATCACTGGAATTATTAAATCTGAACATATGTTCAACAAATAAAAATAATTCAAATGAAATTAATTGAAATAAATAAAGTAAAAATATAAAGAGTTAAAAGTTACAGTGCAGAGTTAAAATTAAAAAAATATTAAAATTGAAGAAGAAGCTCATAACAATGTAACAAGGCAATTTGCAAGTTTATTTTTATGAAACAGAAAAATCCTTAATGAAATTTCTTTATTGATTTATCCTACAGATTTTTTTTTTTTTTTTTACCAAACAAATGATGTGATATTTTC